CACGACCTTCAGCGCCTCGGGACGAGGGAAGGCAAAACGATAGGTAGGGTCCGGACCTGGGTGTCCTAGCTAGACTACCCTACCCTACGTAAATAGGTCATCCTGGACCTGGGTCACCCACACAGGGAAGTGCTAGGTAGGTGAAGACATCTGTCAGATCTGACTTGGGGCAGTGAAGCGCAGCGGATCATCCAAGAGAGGATTTCCATGATGTTCAATCGAAGAAAGGAATATGCATGTCTTCTCCGCACCCCCAGTGCCAATCAGATGGAAAACGCTCAGAAACGCCTAAACGATGCGACCCACAAAGAAAAACGCCATGAGTTCCAGAGAGAACCACGCTAGGTCGCTGGGTCTTCTATTCGATCCAAGACCTCTACACACACCAAGTGGGCACCACTTTTGGACTGCAATGCGCACAGCTGTGGCCCCCGAGTGGCTAGCCGTGGCTAGCAAGCCCACCACCCAACTGCGAACGCACCAAATCAAGGCAATTCCACAGGGGCACCGGTCACCCAAGCCTCAACACCCTCTCGCAGGCTGTGCCCTTGGACTGCTTGCCCATGGGGATTTCTAGCAAATGGAGGGCTGCGATCTCCACAGTCGGCCGCTCGGGCTCAGGTTGCCGCCCAGGCGCTCGGCCGAACTCAAAGCCCATGGCCTCTGCAGCAGCGGATTTCCCTGTGCCTCAGGACGGTCCAGATCGGTCCGGACCGTGGACGTCCGTCCGCGTGGCTGGACAACTAATTAAGCTCATGGCTGACGATGGGCCCAAACTCATCATACACCACTCATCATACACCACTCATCAAACACCACTCATCATACACCACTCATCAATACACCACTCATCAATACACCACTCATCAATACACCACTCATCAATACACAACTAATCATACACCACTCATCATACACCAGTCATCATACACCAGTCATCATACATCACTCAACATACATCACTCATCATACACCACTCATCATACACCACTCATCATACACCACTCATCATACACCACTCATCATGCGCCACTCATCATACCCCACTCATCATACCCCACTCATCATGCACCACTCATCATACACCACTCATCATACACCACTCATCATACACCACTCATCATACGCCACTCATCATACACCACTCATCATACACCACTCATCATGCACCACTCATCATACACCACTCATCATACACCACTGGCACAGCACTTTGTGAACCTCCATGTGCAGAGTTCGTGGCAGGCGCAGCACTTTGTGAACCTCCATGTGCAGATTTCGTGGCAGGCGCATTACTTTGTGAACCTCCATGTGTAGATTTCGTGGCAGGCACAGCACTTTGTGAACCTCCATGCTTCTCCGAACCTCGACGGGGAAGCTCCGCGGAACGACGGGTGCGAGATCATTCTCGGATCATGCTCGGAATCGTCCCTCCATTGTGATTAGATGTTCAGTTGTTTCTTGAAGCGCAGATTTCGTGGCAGGCGCAGCACTTTGTGAACCTCCATGTGCAGACTTCGTGGCAGGTGCAGCACTTTGTGAACCTCAGTGTGCAGATTTCGTGGCAGGCGCATTACTTTGTGAACCTCCATGTGTAGATTTCGTGCCAGGCACAGCACTTTGTGAACCTCCATGCTTCTCCGAACCTCGACGGGGAAGCTCCGCGGAACGACGGGTGCGAGACGGTCTCGGGTCATTCTCGGATCATGCTCGGAATCGTCCCTCCATTGTGATTAGAGGTTTCAGTTGTTTCTTGAAGTGCAGATTTCGTGGCAGGCGCAGCACTTTGTGAACCTCCATGCGCAGACTTCGTGGCAGGTGCAGCACTTTGTGAACCTCCGTGTGCAGATTTCGTGGCAGGCACAGCGCTTTGTGAACCTCCATGTGCAGATTTCGTCGCAGGCACAGCACTGTGTGAACCTCCATGTGCAGATTTCTTGGCAGGCACAGCACTGTGTGAACCTCCATGTGCAGATTTCGTGGCAGGCACAGCACCTCGAGGTGCAGATTTCGTGGCAGGCACAGCACTTTGTGAACCTCCATGTGCAGATTTCGTGGCAGGCGCAGCACTTTGTGAACCTCCATGTGCAGATTTCGTGGCAGGCACAGCACTTTGATTTGTCAACCTCCATGCGCAGATTTCGTGCCAGGCACAGCACTCTGTAGAGCTGGAAGCTGAGAACTGGCAACTTTTTAGTACAACTTTAGTACGCGGAGCAATCTGTAGAGCTGGAAGCTGAGAACTGGCGACTTTGTAGTACAACTTTAGTGTGCAGAGCAATCTGTGGAGCTGGAAGCTGAGAACTGGCGACTTTGTAGTACAACTTTAGTACGCGGAGTATCTGGGGAGCTGGAAGATGAGAACTGGCGACTTTCTAGTACAACTTTAGTACGCGGAGCAATGTGTGGAGCTGGAAGCTGAGAACTGGCGACTTTGTAGTACAACTTTAGTACGCGGAGCAATCTGGGGAGCTGGAAGCTGAGAACTGGCGACTTTGTAGTACAACTTTAGTACGCGGAGCAATCTGTGGAGCTGGAAGCTGAGAACTGGCGACTCTGTAGTACAACTTTAGTACGCGGAGTATCTGGGGAGCTGGAAGATGAGAACTGGCGACTTTGCAGTACTACTTTAGTACGCGGAGCAATCTGTAGAGCTGGAAGCTGAGAACTGGCGACTTTCTAGTACAACTGGCGACTTTCTAGTGCAACTTTAGTACGCGGAGCAATCTGTAGAGCTGAAAGCTGAGAACTGGCGACGTTGTAGTACAACTTTAGTACATCATATCCAAACAAAAATCAGTGTGTCTTTCTCAAGAATCCCAGGCTAAACCTATTGAATTTTTATTTGGGATGCTTTTGTTGGGGGCCTCATGCGGCCTCCACTCGCCCTTGCACCACCTCCGCTCAGTCAGGTCACCCGCAGCGCCCCAGAAGAGCGCCACGGTGACCACCGGGCGATGGGCGCCGATCTCGCGGGTGGAGGAGCCGCCGGAGCCAGCCTCGCCTTGGTGGAGGTGATGCTTTTCCTTCCGACAAGTCGACCCAATTTGTTTGAAGAGGTGGTGGATGGTGGCCGTCACTTGACTTGTTTGTGGAAGGACGACGTACTGCGCCTTGGAAAGCGCCCAAGGAAAAAAGCCATGGGTGCTTCCTTGGGAACTACCACCCGATTGTTCTATGAATCAACCGAGCAATAAACAAAACGCCATCTAGAATCTATAGTCTGTCTAGTCTATATAGGCACTCCATGTTTGGAATATATATATATATAATGCCTACATTGACCCCCCCCAAGCCACCCCAATGTAGGCAAATATGACAGCTGTCTAGTTGGTGGGTTGGCAGGGAGCGATTTTGTCCAGAGTGTTTCCAGTCTGGAAAGGGAGTCGCCGTTTTCCTCTCTACAAGGGACGGTGGCCATCGGCATGCTGCCGAACGCGCGCCCAGCCACGTTCTAACAAACCACCCCCAACGTGCAGGTTGGAGGGGTGCAGGAGGCTTCGAAGGCAAACGATGGAATTTTGCGTCAAGAGTTTGGTGCAGAAAATGGTTCCACCAGGAGTCACAAAAGGATGGTTTTAGTCCCTAAGTGAGTGGATGTACTGGGCACCCCTATCAGTGAGATAGTGTAAAACTCAGGAAGATGTGCCCTGCAAGCTTTGGACAAGTAGAATGCCACAGGGCCACAGCTTGGCGATTCTTCATGGGATGCGTCTAGTCCGCCGCAGTCGCATAGTGGAGGTTCGCAGTCCCAGTTGGGCCCCCCTTGTTTGAGATGATGCAGTGCTTCACCACACAGGTGAACCGACCGGTAGCAGTGCTTCACCCCAGGTTGGGTCGAACTGACTGACATGGAAGGTGATGACATGGGCCTGGGACAATCGCTGGGTGGTCCACCGGATGAAGCTTTCATGGCTGTTCCACTTTCCATCCCACACCGGACTGGAAAATCTATGCCATTGCTCATGGATCGAGCAGAAAAATCCGCCAGTCCCGACTCTTGTGGTCAAGATGGTCAAAATCTCAAATAGCTCGTGTAGAAAACGCGGCTGGGAATTCTCAGCTGGGTCGGTCACAAACAGATCTGTCTGGGAAAAACCCTTATGACTTCGGCCTCTCTTCGGCCGCTGCCCAGCTGTGCCAAGCTGCCGGGGTCTCCAAAACCCCAACTCTCCAGCAACAGCGGCCGCGCTTTTTCGAAGGCCACGATCTCCAGGAGCTTCCTCCGGGCTTTGGAAAAGGACGTGAAATGAAATGAATCACTCCACCCAGGCCTACATCAACTATATATGTAGGCCATAACTGCCATAACTTACGCCATACAATTTGCATACCTGGAGCATCTGGAAAAGTACACTACCCAAGATCGGGTTGTATACATCTGCCATACCTGCGCCTGTCAGGGCTCTCCAGGTCAAGTCTCACATCCTGTCACTTCCGGCGACGATCTCAGGCCTCGCCATGCCTCCCCCCATCCCACATCTGTGAGCCTGTCAGCCACCGACCGACCCTGCCAAGGCGCTGCTTCAGATTGGGCGCCAGGACCAGGGAGTCCAGCCCCGCCCGCGGCACCAAACGCTTGGCGAAGCTCTGCATCTGCAAGGAGCCACGGACCTCACCCGAGCCGAGCGCCACGGCCGCCGGCACGCTGAGGCGATGGTGAAATCCATTCCTGCAATGGCTATGTCTGCACTTTTCCTCTGCCATTTCTGCCTGGCAACACCAAAACAAAGGAAACAACATAAATCCCTATAGGGCTCCAAGTACCAGTCGTACCTTCGTTTCGCCGCAGGTGAGACGACCGGGGCCCGGGTGCCGAGGAGGTACGAGCCCAAACGGGATTGAAATCGACCAGTGGACCAGGCCTTTTGGACACCCCTGAAGCTCTAAGAGGCTTATGTATAAACACCTCTTGGAAGGTCCTGGTATATTAAATCATGTATTGGAGGTTCTCAGGTGTTGAGTCGTTTGTTGGTGACTGGTTTCAATCCTTCTACGGTTCGTGTTGCCGCACGTTGCACATCAGGGGGACTTCTGAAAGAACACGTCGACGCGCGAGGTGCATTCAGGCCTGCATGATGCAGCCACCCGTGATATCCTCTTCGGTCACCTTCGGATCCACGTTGTTTCCTGGGCGACGCGTCCCGGGCGTCAAGCCAGAACACCCCGGAGGCAGGTCGTGACCGTGGTTCTTTTCGCGATCCGATGACCTGTCCTGTTTGGTTGGAGAATTGGAGTAAGTGACTCCAGCAAAAGAAGCACTTTTACATAGTTCCGCGTTCCAGTGCAACCCCTGTTGGAAGTGAAGCTCCATCAACATAAGGTGCATGAAAATCCATCTGATTCTTGCCGATTTCCCCCCGAACGCCGCGTCGAAGATCGAACGCAACCCGGTGTGATGGTGCATTGAACTGGGGGGCATGCCGGGCAATGCCCGCGTGTAGTGCTTGAACACGCGAGTCAAATGTGTCATGGTCAGTTAGCAAAACTACAGATTGGACAACCACAAAATACGAAATCTGGTCCTGGGGGTTTGCTGCACCTTTCTAGCCCCCTTCATATTGGGTCGTGTCGAAGAGCCAACAGTTTCCTGGTAACAAAACACCCCATGCATCACACCGTGACTTGTTTCGGTCCGGACAAGCTGGCACACTACTCCCAAAACCGAACTCCAAGACCCCTGCAAGCATATGAGCCGGTGACCGCCGGTGACCCCAAAAAATTCGGAGTCCAATTAAAATAGTCCTGTCCCTCGTCATTTTCATAGCCCAAACACGCGAGATGGCCAGGAGCAAAGCGCTCACAATTGCATTCCTCGGATCCAGAGGGAAAAATACAGCCAAGTGATGATGTTGCATGTTTTCCGGCAAACTAACGCCCGCACGGACATGGCATTAGAATTTTGCCTGCAAATCGAAAATTCAAAGGTTCATGCAACTGGTTTGGCGAAAGGTTCACCAGTAACACTTTTCTGTTTGTCGGGTCTTGGTGGTGGGTTGGTAAAACAAATTTTTGGGGGGGTTGTGATTCCGTTCGCCCATCCCGCGCTCTTGAATCAAAACGAGCAGCTTGATGTACCCACCAGTCAGTGCAAATTTCATGGCGATCTTCTCCCAATCGATGTCGAGTGCCAACGGGACCCCTGTCCTCAGTTACAAGTTGACAAACATGCCGCCTGCAAAAACATGGGCCGAAAAAATAAAGGCATTGTACAGGCATTGTTCCAAAACAGGCCTTAGCTTCAAGTGTTGAAGTGGTGGTGAATAAACAGCCCAAATTGGCAGAACAACACAGTGTCACAGTGTCAAAACAAACAATGCGGCGCCGGTATGCGCAGGTTTACTCGCAGGTTTCTATCAAGTTGGGGCATTGACCTTGTCCCCCATCGCGATTGGCAATCCAAGCTTCTGTGTGTAAAGTTTCCAAATTTCTAGACGTTGAACATGATCAGGTTTGCCTCGGCTCTGCAGTTGGCTATCGGCGGTGGCCGAATATCTTCCACTTCGTTGCACATCCCCGTCGCGACAAGCACGACATGCCCGCTGTGTGGCAGATTGGGCCCAAGCTCCACTGTCAGCATGCATTTCTTCAGGTCCTGCAATGACCTCACCAACACGTCAATCTAACTGCTGCTTTGCCCTGCGTGGCGCCACGCCAGAAAGCCAACCAGAAGGTGAAGGATGAGCGGAGTCGAAAGCTGTGCTTTCCTATCAAGGGGTTGGGGAACTTCCTGTATCTCCTTGGTTCCCTGTTCAACTTAATGGGGAATATGGGTGCCCTCGGCTCCGAACCGCGCCCCCCTGAGCAAACCAAAGTGTTTCACCTGGAGCACCACAGGGCGCAGGGGGCGAGTGGCGTGACCATGATCTCGTCTCCTCCGGATGTGCCAACGGCCGTGACACCAACAACATGGTTTGAACGCGCCAGCCAGGCGGCGCTTGAACCACCTGCGGCGTACGGCGTAAGGTACGTCTATCACTTCGTTTCGTAAGGTCTGGCTACTGCATGTTTTGGATGTTGGGCATGTGTTGCTAGTCCTGTTGCGTTGCGACAGATTTAAAGGTTTCGTTGGATGACCCTGACCGTAGTAGCTTTGTAGTGTCCAGGAGGGCTTTTGTAAGGTATTTGGGTGGCAGCCGTGGAACGAGACAGTGACCTAGCAAAACGCAGAGAAACCGAGCAAGTAACTAGTGCTGCTTAAGCTCATGACAAGCATCCAGAGTGAGGCCCACTTACCAGATGAGAGGTTTTGCTGAATTCTCACATGGTTTGACAAGGCTTGGGTCCCACATGGTCCCAAGTCAAAGCTGACAGGAAACACACAGCAGCTTGCGTCTGAATCCTGGCAGACTAAGAGAAGCATCTGTTCACGCAGGATTTAGACAACTTAGAGGTGCAGCCTCTGGCTCGTTTCATGGAATCGATCGACCCAGCACCGCTGCGCCCTCCCCGGCTCTGCCCTGATCCGAGCAAAGAAGGAATGGCGGGGTCCGCCGATGCACAGGTTCCATCAGGTTCATATCGGCTGAGCCACCCCAAGCCACCCCGCGCGAGGAAGGCCGGTTTTGCCAAGTTCCCGAACCGAATGATCCTCATGCTTGAACCCTCTCTGAAGGGGTCTCCCGCGCCATTGCGCCGCGGCGAAAAAATGCTGGTGTTTTCCTCTGTGTTTCGAAGCTGGCTTCTCCCCCCAAAAAAGGACTCAAGCCTTCTAGCTACTAGATGCTTAGCTACTAGTAGGCTTCTTGTCTAAAGCGATCAGTTGGCGGCACTGGGGGCCCTTCCAGGACCAACTACTGTATAGCTTCTTGATCGATGAACGTGAGGTCATAACCCTCGAAGGTAGATATCTTGATTCTTTTGTCAAAAGATTCAGATCATGTCCCTTTTGAAGTGATATCGATCATATCCTTCCATCTTTGGTACAATGGATTCTCTTTGGATGTCATTTTGGCCTTCATTTTTGGTCAGTCATCAACAGTCTCAAGGGTCATATCATATATATATAATATATACCTGGACCTACCTAGGGATCTCCATTTTTTCAAAGGGGTGTCCAATGGAGACCCCTATGTAGTGTAGGGGCTTCCATTCGGTGACCCCTTCGAAGGTGCTGGCATATATCTACCTACTGAACTTTATACCCACTTAATTTTTTGTGGGGGTGAAAAAGAAAAACCTATCTATGTCTTGTCAACGACAAGTTTTTTTTAAAAAAACAAGATGGAACCCACGAACCCGAATGCAAACATGATCGAAAAACTAATATGTCCAAAGGACACTCTTGTAGGACACTCTTGCGGGACACTCTGTAGGACACTCTTGTGGGCCACTCTTGTAGGAAACTCTTGTGGGACACTCTTGTAGGACACTCTTGTGGGACACTCTTATAGGACACTCTTGTCGGACACTCTTGTGGGACACTCTTGTGGGAACACTTTTGTGGGACACTCTTGTAGGACACTCTTGTGGGACACTCTTGTGAGACACTCTTGTAGAACACTCTTGTGGGTCACTTGCAGGACACTCTTGTGGGACACTCTTACACGACACTCTTGTAGGACACTCTTGTCATTGTAGGACACTCTTGTAGGACACTCTTGTCGGAAACTCTTGTGGGACACTCTTGTGGGACACTCTTAAAGGACACTCTGGGACACTCTTGTGGGACACTCTTGTAGGACACTCCTGTACGACACTCTTGTAGGACACTCTTGTGGGACACTCTGAGGGACACTCTTGTGGGACACTCTTGTGGGACACTCTTCTAGGACACTCTTGTGGGACACTCTTACAGGACACTCTTGTGGGATACTCCTGTAGGACACTCTTGTGGGGCACTCTTATAGGACACTCTTGTGGGACACTCTTGTGGGACACTCTTGTAGGACACTCTTGTGGGACACTCTTGTGGGACACTCTTGTGGGACACTCTTGTGGGACCCTTGCGAGACACTCTTGTCGGACACTCTTGTGGGTCACTTGCAGGACACTCTTGTGGGACACTCTTAGGAAACTCTTGTGGGACACTCTTCTAGGAAACTGTTGTGGGACACTCTTGTGGGACACTCTTGTAGGACACTCTTGTGAGACACTCTTGTAGAACACTTGTGTGGGTCACTTGCAGGACACTCTTGTGGGACACTCTTGCACGACACTCTTGTAGGACACTCTTGGGGGACACTCTTGTAGGACACTCTTGTAGGAAACTCTTTTGGGACACTCTTGTGGGAAACTCTTGTGGGACACTCTTATAGGACACTCTTGTGGGACACTCTTGTGGCACACTCTTGTAGGACACTCTTGTGGGTCACTCTTGTAGGAAACTCTTGTGGGACACTCTTGTAGGACACTCTTGTGGGACACTCTCTGGACACTCTTGTGGGACACTCTTGTGGGACACTCTTGTAGGACACTCTTGTGGGACACTCTTGTGGGACACTCTTGTAGGACACTCTTGGGATACTCGTGTAGAACACTCTTAAGGGACACTCTTGTGAGACGCTCTAGTGGGACACTGTTGTGGGACAGTCTTGTACGACACTCTTGTGGGACACTCTTGTAAGACACTCTTGTGGGACACTCTT